GTAAGGGGGACAAGAAAAAAGTTATTCTTTCACTTTAAAAAGATGGTCATGTGACGCAGGAACTTCACTCCCAGATATATATGTACAAGAAACAAAAACATATGTTCGTGCAAAAAACGTGTAGGTGAATGATCACAATAGCATTATCCACAAGAGCGAAAAGTGGAAACAACCCAGATGTCCACCAGTGATAAATGGGTAAATAAAATGTAATATACACATACAATGAATGGAATATTACTGGGCAATAAAAAGGAATGAGGTACGGACACACAATATAGCATGATGAACACTGAAGACATTACTGAGGCACCTGGTGGCTCAGTCAGTTGGGCATCCAATTTAAGTTCAGGTCATCATCACCTCACGGTTCGTGAGTTCGAGCCCTACATCAGGCTCGCTGCTGTAAGAACCTAGCCTGCTTAGATCCTCCGTCTCCCTGTCTCTCTGCCCCTCCCCCATTTGTGCGCTCTCAAAAATAATAAACATTAAAAAAAGATAGAAAGAAAACATCACTAAGTGAAGGTAGTTAGTCACAACAGATAGCCTACTTCATGATTCCATTTATATGCAATACCCAGATCCACAGATCAAGAGTCACCAAGTTGGGTAGTAGTTGCCTAAGGCTGAGGGAGTTGGAGAGACAGAGTAGGGAGTGCTAACTTAGAACACGGGATTTCTTTTTAATTTTTTTTTAACGTTTATTTATTTTTGAGAGAGAGAGAGACAGAGCATGAACGGGGGAGGGTCAGAGAGAGGGAGACACAGAATCTGAACCAGGCTCCAGGCTCTGAGCTGTCACCACAGAGCCCGACGCGGGGCTCGAACTCACGGACTGCGAGATCATGACCTGAGCCAAAGTCGGCCGCTTAACCGACTGAGCCACCCAGGCGCCCCAGAACACGGAATTTCTTTAAGGAGCAGTGAATATCTAAAATCGATTGTGATGATGGTTGCACAACTCTGTGCACAAACTAAAACCCACCGAATTGTAGACTTCAAATGAGCGAATTACACCTCAATAAAACTGTCTTTTCAAAAAGATCAGCGTGAGAATAAAGGCAAAAATCAAAGGGCACCAGCTTCAATAAGGCAAGACTTGCAAAGCAGGATAAAAACTCAAAAGGATTGAAACATGCATTTAGGAGGAAAAGCCCAAGCTACAAACACAAGGTCATGTCAGCTGATTTTTCTATGCCTCAAAATTAATACATAATTTGTTCACTGTAGAGTTTACTATTTTAAGAGAAACCATGGCAAAGTAGGAGGGAAAAGTACTGACTTTCACTGGAAGCACAGAGTGCCTGGTTATAGAAACTTTTATAGGTCACTTAATTTCAAAAGGCAGCGCCTCTCATTTCTCGTACTTGGCAATCACCTTATTTTATAGACATGCTCTTAAAGGCAATTAAGGATCATGTAGTTCATATTTAAAGAGGACCAGGATCTGAAATACTGCTGAGGTTTATTCCAGACATTTGCACAGCCTTACTGCATGTGATCTGTGGGAGCAGTGAGATACAGCACCCACTGAGAAAGTCTTCCCGTTTGAGAGATGCTATGATGGTTACAACAGAAATGTGCAAAGCCTTCGATTCTTCCAGAATGGATGTGCAATGTGTTTTCAACTATCTAAAATTAAATGACGAATTCATGTATTTTTAAGCTTGAAGGCTTCATTTTACAGAAGGGCCCACAGGGGCACCTGGGTGGCTCAGTCGGTTAAACATCCGACTCTTGATTTCGGCTCAGGTCTTGACCCCATGGTTCGTGAGTTCGAGCCCAGCGCGGGGCTCGTCATTGACAGTCCAGAGCCGGCTTAGGATTCTCTCTCTCTCTCTCTCTCTCTCTCTCTCTCTCTCTCTCACTCTCTCTGCCCTTCCGCTGCTCGCGTGTACCTGTGCATGAGCTCTTTCTCTCAAAATAAACTTAAAAATTAAATGACTACATTAAAAATATAAAAGGGCTGGAAAAGTTGTACTGACATAAAGGAAGGGACAGTGAAAGGGGAACAGATAAACATAAACTAATGAATAAGGCTTCTCCTATCCCTGTTCCTCATCCATTCTTCAGGAATAAACCAGACCCACCGAACCATGATTTTCACATAAAGTACACTTAAATCCTAGTCCTTCCATGTTCTTTCAGAACATACTCCTATTCTCCCTCATCCTAGTGTCTCACTCGTTTGAATACATCAAAGGTTCAAGATATTGACCAAATTTTAAGAAAGAAACATGGATGGAAATAAACTCCTTTCATTAAACACAGGAAACAGTCTTTCAACTGTTTTGCCTTTGTTTTAAATTCCCTTCATTTTCCTCTCATCTTCTAAGTCATTCGTAACAATAAAGTTTTTAGTCTGTATCACAACTTGAACCTGGTTTGGTCTGGGATCAATATTTTGGTCCAGGCTGGTTAAAAGATAAATTTAACAGTTCTACGCAGCTGTATCACATAATGGAAGACTTAAAAAAAAATTTTTTTTTAACATTTATTATTATTGAGAGAGAGAGACAGAGAATGAGCAGGGGAGGGGCCGAGAGACGGGGAGACACAGAATCCGAAGCAGGCTCCAGGCTCTGAGCTGTCAGCACAGAGCCTGACGTGGGACTCGAACTCACCGACCATGAGATCATGACCAGAGCAGAAGCCGAACGCTTAACCGACAGAGCCACCCAGGCGCCCCTAATGGAGGGCTTCGGAAACACAGTCATGGACAAAAACGCCCCAAGCATGTAACTGAAGACTTTAAAAACCAAACCTACAAGACACAGGGTTGTATGCTGATGTGACAAGAATCTGGAAAACCGTTTAATTTTGGTATGCGAAAATCACATGAATAAATTAGTGCAAATACAACACTCTTATTTCTGGAACACAAACTGTTATTCCCCGTCCCCCCCCCCCAAGACTTTTCTTTGTACCCTGGTGCAAAATATAGAATAAAGAATTCAGATTCTCAAACTCAACATATATTAGCTACATGGCAAACTTGTGGCAATTAACTTTGCTAGCCATACATTCACTGTTTAATCTTCTCCAGTACTTAATTTTATATATGTATATATATATGCATGTAAGATATATATACACATATATATAAGTATGTATATATATATATATATATATATGTGTGTGTGTGTGTGTATGTAAGAAATTTCACAAGAGATCTACCCTACCCTTTTAACCTATGAGGTGCCAAGTACAGGACTGATAACTCCGGGCACAATGTCATACAACAGATCTCTAGAATTATTCATCTTGGGGCACCTGGGTGGCTCAGTCGGTTGAGCGTCCGACTTCGGCTCAGGTCATGATCTTGTGCTTTGGGAGTCTGAGCCCCATGTCAGGCTCTGTGCTGACAGCTCAGAGCCCGGAGCCCGCTTTGGATTCTGTGTCTCCCTCTCTCTCTGCCCACCCCCACCCCCCACCCCCAACTCACACTGTGTCTCTCTCTCCTTCAAAAAAACAAACATTAAGAAAACATTTAGAATTTATTCATCTTGCCTAATTGCAGCTTTAGGTCTGTGGATTAGCAACTGCCCACTTCCTCCTCCCAGCCCCTGGCAACCATCAGTCCAGGCTCTGCTCCTGGGAGATGCCTCGTGTAAGTGGAGCCACCCAGGGCTCGCCGTTCTGTGACTGGCTTATTTCACTTGGGGTGATGTCCTCCCAGTTCACCTGTACTGCGGCATCATCAGGTTTTAAACGGTGAAGTCTGGTTGGTTGAGCAGAAGAGCCCACAGCAAACCAGACCCACGCCTTGCCTCATCAGCTCCCTGTTTCTGCTGGGTAGGACCCATCTTGCAGTCACGATGGTGTCAGATCTGGAAATGACCTCCCTGCCAGCTGAGGTAAGAACACCGTTTCGATGTATGGAAAGACTGCTTTTTGAAAGTCAAGGCCTCCTGGCAGTTGCTCTGTAAACGACTATGGCAGCTGTGCGAGAGGCCATGAATATTACATAAGGACCGTCCGTGCATTCCAGCCAGAATCTCCAAGCCACAATTCCCATAGCAACACACGGAGACTTTACTCCTCTCAGAGATGAAGCAGCCAGCCAAAGTGCCTCGTGCCACCCTTGATTGCTTTTTTAGCAAGATCAACACAGTACCTAATTCTTTTTGGCAAAGCAATTTTTTTTCAAAAACAAAACAAAACAAAACAAAACAAAACAAAACAAAAACCCAAAAGGAACGACTGCATGAAAGGTGTTCATTTAAAAGTTACCAAGTGTCACATAAGCCAAGATACCATAACTTTGAACAACAATCTATGCTTTAGGAATTGCTGCCATTTGAATGGCTCCACGGGAAAAAAGATTTCAAATCATTACCATGCGTGAAACGAAATGCACCATCCTCTTGGCTAAATACTGTACTTACAGGTTTTATATCTGATTCCCAGTTCCCCCTTCCACATATACACACTTTGTATTAGAATGGAGAACATGTTCCAAAGGAAGGAACATGTTGAACCCATAAAATCCTTTATTGCTTTATTTTTGAAAAGCAGAATGCAATCCCTTTGTTAAATAGAAGAAAATACGATTACAAAACACCTATGCAGTAAAATTTGGGGAAAAGATCATTCCAGTCTAAGAAAATATGCAATTGCCCTGAGGAAAGTGGTTTTCCTGAACAGAGAAATGGTTTACCGGAATAATGAAGTTACAATCACTTGGTGATTAGAAGCAGGTTTTCCTCTTTGTAGATTTGGGGATCCTTTTTTGCGTGCCTCCATCAACTATCCACCCACAGAAACAAGTTGCTTCGATTACAACACAACGGAAAAGCCAAGGCCACTCTCATATATCACACTTGCTTTTCCTATCAAGGAAATCAATCCAACACACTCCATTTCTGGTACTCCTTGAAAACCAACGAAATGCTGTGAAAGACCAACCATCGGCTTCAAACGAAACTTCCACAGGTGGCCCATCACAGACCCAGCACAAGCGGCCAAGAAAGAGCTTGGCAGGGGGGAAATGGTTTTACCTTTGCTTTTTCCAACTGGGCCTGGGCCTGTCGCTCTGCTTCCCTGCGTACCGCCTCCCGATCTTCCTCCAAAGAAACATCTGAGTCGGACGGACGGCTGGTGTAGGAGTCTGCCGAACCCTTCAGAGAGAAATTTGCATTTTAAAATAGATTCCATCTATGATGTTTGCATTGGAAAAGTCTCATTGACACAGCAGTTAGCTTCCTAGATGATGCCATAAATTCCTGAAAAGAGGAGAAAAGAATCCATTTTGTGGCAAACCATCGAGAAAAATCAGCTCTGGTTTGCAGACCATTCCCTCGGCGAGCTGTGCCTACCAAGTGACCGTTCCTTCCCAAGTCTTATGTTCCGATTACTCTCCTTTCTGGAAGCCAGAGCAGGTCCCTTTATAATTAAACCAGCTCCGTGGTGCAGTGCCCGGCTGAAGGGCATAGAGGGGTTTCAAGGATGGCTTCGAGAACATTCTACACACTAAAGCAAGTATTTGCAAGTAGAAAGAAGCTACGTCTAAAAAAAAAAAAAAAAAAAAAAAACAACCAAAAAAGAAACTCCTAACCAGTCAAAACTTGAATTCTCCAAAATGTCACTACCGGGAGACGATGACTCCCACGGTAATCTTAAGCATCCTTTTGTACCTTTTCATTCACCTGATACCTTCACGGACAAAACTGTAAGGCAACAGCAGCCAGCTTCACTCAATCTTTAAGCAACACGTTTTCCTATCGCTTTAAATAGACGTTTGATAAAAGCTGCCTAAAGAAAACACCTGCCCGGGATGGCTTCTACGGCAATAAATCACAACACGGGCAAAGGAGCTCGGAAAATTATAGGACTCTCCCTCGCTCCCCGTCTTGCAATCAGGATCATATTACTAAATCAGAGGAGCCCCTGCCAGCACTCACTGTCACAACAGCAGAAGCAACGACAATATAGAATCTCCCCCAGACGAAAGCCCTTGAGCTTACACAGATATCCGAATTCTTCAGCCTTCCTCCCTTGGCTCTTTTCAGAAGCCTGATCCAGGTGGCCTTCATTAGCCAGACAGCGCCTTTCTCATCCGCAGCTGCAGCCCCGGGCACGGATCCTCAGTGCGCGCTGAGCCCTGGAGAGCCCCTGCTCCTTTCCTATCCATGCTCTGGGCAAGCCCCTCTTCTCCGTCCCTTCCTGCCACCGGGGCTTTCACTCCCTACCCCGGAGGACTCCAATCCAAGGAGATTCTTATTTTCCCATTCCAGGGAGGGGAAAACAAACACTCGAGTGCCTTATACTGCTTTAAAAATAAAGAACACTTCAAGTGCATTCAAAGACAGGCATCAACTCGTTCTCAACTTAATGCATCTTATTACTCTAAATATTCTCCTCTTTGCGCTTGGGTTGCTACAGGAAATTAGTTGTAAGAGAACCTTTTTTAAAAAAACCCATTGCAAAACGTATGCAGTGACATTTGCAAGTGCAAAGTTCAAGCCTTATCTTCAGAGATCTGGAGGGGGAGGGCGGAGGAGGCACTCACTGCACTGGGCATGCTCCATATGTAGCCTTTTTACGCAGATGCCTACATCACACTGTTAGTCTATGTCAAATTGCCATTTTGCATCCGAAGTGTAAACAGCTGGAGAGGGCTTTTCGGTTCTATAGTAACAGGCACATGGTATGTTTGTCATGTTTCTGCTTCAGTTGAAACAGCCTCTCAAAGACAAAGCATGCAATCTTTTCATTTAATGAGCCCTTTCCATTACCCTGCTACACAAAGTATATCCTATGCCATAAGACAATTCAAAGATAAGCAACATCACGCAGGCATCATTGGAGAGTGGAAAGCGATGAATGGTGCTCATCAATCATAGCATCAAACTGCCCTTGATTGCTGGTGACTTCCCAAACAAGATGCAGGAGACAGATCTCCCCCTTTAATTAGGACATGAAAGTAATCACAGCTCTAAGCAATGAGTTTAACCGAGCTCAAAATGACTTTGAACTGCTTCTCCAGCTGAGAAACTACCGTTTGAAATAAAGTCCCCAGAAGAAACAACAGTATGAACTGTCAGAACAACAATCATGAAGAAATTGCAAAGTGCGGTTGATTTATTAGCTCGAGTTAAGATTTATGGAATAGCTGAGTCCAAACTCTTTTTATAAATAGGGTGATTGAAGCTCGAGAAGAAAAGATACTTACTAATTTCCTCTACCAATGAGATTACATTTCTTCTTTACGAAGAAATACACACTTCTAGATGGCTTGGTAAACATAAAATTCAAACACTGCATTCCAAACTACATTTTTGTTTGTGTGGTAGGGAAGGGGATTATTTTGTAAAGTGTCATGCAAATGAAAGACAGGTGGTTTTATTTTTACTTTTTTATAAATTTTTAAAATATTTATTTTTGAGAAAGAGTGAGAGCACGCGAGAGAGAGACAGTGTGCGAGCAGGGGAGGGGCAGAGAGAGAGAGAGAGAGAGAGAGACAGAGACAGAGAGAGACAGAGAGAGAGACAGAATCCAAGCAGGCTCCAGGCTCTGAGTTGTCAGCACAGAGCCCGACAGGGGCTCGAACTCATAAACTGTGAGATCATGCCCCGGGCTGAAGTCTGACCTTTAACCAACTGAGCCGCCCAGGTGCCCCAGGACAGGAGGTTTTAAAATCTTTGCTACTTTTTTCTCTTCCTTCATTTCATCTCTTTCTCCCTTCTTTTGTGGGCTAAGACCAATCTTCATGCCTTAAATGCTAGAAAATACAGAATAGAGGCTTTAGAATAAGTTATAGATTGAATACACCGCAACTGTGTGCTATCCATAAATCAATAAACGGGTTATTTATATTCTTATGAAGTGAATGTAAAATGCATGGGAGATATAAAATGCATTGCAATTTCTTATTCCAGTAAAATTCACAAGGAAGAAATGAAATTTTCTCCATCCACACACGTTAGGGGGATTCCTAATCTTCCCAGAGGGTTTCTCATGGCGAGTGTAGCACAGTAGGAAATTACCCAGAAGCACAGCTTTATCCCACAAAAGGCTTCAGGCCCCATTGTCACCAATGTTAGCATTTTAAACCCAATCACCCTGCAGAAGGTTCCATTCACAACACAGTGAAGATACAAAGTTTCGGTCACTAGTTAGCCCCATAAGGAGAGTAAGAGCATAACACACACATAACTGTGCACTATCCTGTTCCCTTTTGAACAAAATATGATTTAAAAAGTCTTTGCTAATAATTAGATGTAGCTTTTAATTGCACAGTCATGTTGAGACCTGTTTCCAGGTTTAAATAATTAAGCAGTTAAAAAAACAAACAAAAAACCTCTACAGTGACTTCTGGCAATGATCTTTGGAATACTGCAATAATAAATTAACTTTTGACTATGTTACAATGTAAGATGTGACTCCCAAATGATGTTTAGTGAGGTTGATAGAAGGGGCCACCATACTTTCTTTCCTTGGATCTGTAGTAGTAGCAGAAAAATGGCAACAAAATATTTTCATTATAGAAGTTACATGTACCCATTGCAGAGACACACAAATAAAGGTCACTTTAAATTATCCCACCCAAAGATAACCACTATTAAATCATAGCATGTTTTAGCCTCCAGAGTTCTTGCATTTTTGAAAGTCACCCTCCCAACATGCGCATTACAATTAATCTCCTTCCTTCTGGGAGTGTGGATTTATGCAGTTAGAAGTAATATATCTAATTAAGCTTTTGCCTTTGGTACCATATGGACTTTCTGGGTCATTCTGCCTCAAGCAGTCTTCAGTCAGGAACAGCTGGCTGTCATTTCCATAACTCCAGAGTAAGTTCATTACAAGATGTGCCCTTGATCTCTTGGGTTGCTACAATGTGATGAGCTGGTCTTCTGTAGTTTTGCCTTTGCAGGTGGGTATATCACATGTTCGGCTACAAATATTTCCTTTCCTACACCTTAATATTCTCATTCCTCATTGTACAGGTCCAAAACGTAACTTGTACCCCTAACGTCTACCAAAACTCATCCAGGATCGTTCACTTTTATCCTCAGAACTCTAACTCCAAATACATGTGCTTTGCTCACAGGAAATTTAGTTAACTGGATTAACTCATGCTTTTTTTAAAGGTGTGTTTGATTTATTTTGAGCGAGAGCTAGATGCAAACAAGGGAGAGGCACAGATAGAGGGACAGAGAGAGAATCCCAAGCAGGTTCCATAATGTTAGTGCAGAGCTCGATGATGGGCTCGAACTCAAGAACCATGGGATCTTGATCTGAGCCCAAATCAGACACTTAACCGACTGAGCCACCCAGGCACCCAAATTACCTCATTCTTTGTAACTACTCTTCAGTTTTTGTCCCCCCCCCCATTTATGCCTAATATTTGCACAAAAAGCATACATTTTTTTTGTATATAGAAAGTTTGCTTTAAAAAAAGTTTTTTTAATATTTACTTATTTTGGACAGAGAGAGAGGCAGAGCATGAGCAGGGGAGGGGCAGAGAGAGAGACAGAGAATCCGAAGCAGGCTCCAGGCTCTGAGCTGTCAGCACAGAGCCTGACGCGGGGCTCGAACTCACAGACCAAGAGATCATGACCTGAGCCGAAGTCGGATGCTCAGCCGACTGAGCCACCCAGGCTCTCCATATGCAGTTTGCTTTTTTGATGCTGTACTCTACTGTTTCAATCATATATATTGCCAACATCATTTTTTTTTTTCTTGAGCATTCCTGTATTTTCTCTTCTAAAGCCAAAAGAGCGAGAGTCATAAGGCTACTCAGGAATGGCATCTTCGATCCTGAAGTGTCCATCTATTTTTATAGAGAATCTTCATATGAAGATTAAGCAATGTTGTTGGACAAAGTCAATTTCTCACAGTATCCCAGGGTTACTCCGATTCTAGACAAATCTATGCTCCATCCAAAACCCTCAAGACTTCAAATGACCCTCCTCCTGTATAGGACTATGCTGAGCCAATGGCAAGTCTGAATTCAGTTGCTTCCTCCTGACCTGCCATGGGATAGACAGACATTCCACCGCCATATTCCTCAGGCCCACACTTTTAGAAAAAAGCGGAATGGGAGGGACTTCTGAAACCCATGACCAAGGGCAAAGACTTCCATCTTGTATTGTCTGTGCATTAGCTGGCAGAGAGA